CTCCAAGGCCCCAGCTTCCAGCCCCTTCGTGCTCACCACTAGTGACATGCGTGCCTCTCGGTCCTGCTTTGCCTGCGGGGTCAGGAAACCCTTCTTCATGGTCTGCTCACACACCGACAGGTGTTCTCAGCTCCGCATGTGGATCCATTATCAATCATTTAAATAAATATTTCCAGTGAAACTTAGGTACCTAAAATCAGCAACAACTCTGTTATTCTGTGATAAATAAGAGGAATTAGCGGAGCACCTGGGTGGTTCAGTTGGTTACGTGTCTGATTCCTGATTTGGGCTCAGGTTACAATCTCACATGTGTGAAATCGAGCTTTGCGTCAGGCTCTGCGCTGACAGCACGGAGTCTGCTTGGGATTCTCTCTCTCCTTCTGTCTCTGCCCCTCCCAAAATAAATAAATAAATAAATGAGCAATTAGGAGCGACTGGGTGGTTCAGTAGGTGAAGGCTCTGACTCTTGATTTTGGTTCAGGTCATGATCTCATGGTTCATGGGATTGAGCCCCATGCCAGGCTCTGCACTGACAATGCAGGGCCTACTTGGGATTCTCTCTCTCCCTCTCTCTCTGGCCCTTCCCCACTTCCACACTTTCTGTCTTGAAAATAAATAAATAAACATTAAAAAAATAAAGTCAATTATTTCCCTGCTCTCTACAACTCAGAATGGAGCTGTCAAAGAAATCATCTACACCAGCAGGTAAAATTAACCTGTCTCATTGTGCCATACGATTCAGTGTGGGAGCTTTGGAAGTATTTGAGATCATGTAAAGCAGCGAATTTCAAATTTTGGTGGAAAGAGTTGAGTTCCATTGTGTATATGTTTTTCTTTTTTTTTCCATGTTGTTACCTGAAAAAATTATGAATTTTTTTTTAACCCAAGTGGGGTCTAGCTGTTTTAGGCCGATGGAAGATTGCTTGAACTGATGCCTGCATTAGAAGTCACGTAGAGTTGTCAAGAAACTTAGAGATCCAATGTTTTAGGGGTACTGATAGGGGGAAATGGCAGGGGCAGAATCTGGAATGCAGCTCCCTCAGATGCTGTAGTAAGGCAAAGAACTGTAAGGTGCGTCCTAAGAAATAACAGGCCAGTGACCAGATTCAGTGAGGTGGGTGACACAATAAGTTCTGCTTGCTGTATGTGACTGACAGAGTCCATCGGCGTAAATTAAATTCTTTTATAAAAACGGGGCACCTGGTGGCTCAGTCAGTTAAGTGTCTAACTTTTCAGCTCAGGTCATGATCTTATGGTTTGTGAGCACAAGCTCCACATCAGGCTCTGTGCTGATGGTGTGAAACCTGCTTGGGATTCTCTCTCTCTCTCTCTCTCTGTCTCCGTCTCTCCTGCTTGTTCTCTCTCTGTCTCTGTCTCTCTCAAAATAAATACGCTTAAAAAATTATTTTATAAAAACTCACATTTTCCAAATACTCAAAGTCAATGCTTTGGTATTAATTACAGTTTGGAGGTGGCATATTTTCATTTTGTGATGGTGAGCTTAGATGAACTTTTATGTATTTATTCCTCATCTTGTACACTGAAGGCAAAACATCAAATGCTCTTAAATTTCATTTTCCTTTTATCCTTCATTGGTAGAACCACAGTAAAAGCTGGTCTTCCCCTGGTAACTTGTTATATTCTAATCCAGGATTTCTTCACTTTGGCATAGCTGCACAGTCAGGCAGTCCCCAAGCAGTATGCTAGTTTGGCCTGGCACTCTGCCATAGATTTCACCAGTAAAATCAACAAAGCACAAAGGGGCGCCTGGGTGCTTAGTCGGTTAAGCGTCAGACTTTTGCTTAGATCATGACCTCGCGGTTTGTGGGTTCGAGCCCCGCATCGGGCTCTGTGCTGACTGCCAGCTCAGAGCCTGGAGCCTGTTTCAGAGTCTGTGACTCTCTCTCTCTCTGACCCTCCCCTGCTCACGCTGTCTCTCTCTCTCTCTCCTAGAAATAAAATAAAACACTAAAAAAATTAAAAAACAACAACAACAAAGCACATGAATTTAGACTTCGTTATTTTCATAGACAGCATAAGCAAGGCCAGCATGTTGTCAGTTTCCCGTGACCCTTATGCCACAGGATGACACCCGATCAAAGCGACCAGATGTTGGTGGTCTGATGAACTAGTGAGCGGTGGGGACAGTCTGTCATTGAGGAGCCCTGTCTATACTTAGAGCTAAGTACTTCCGTCTGCAGCTGTACAATGAAGGAAGGAAACCAGGCAGGCAGAAGAGGAACTGCTCCATGACCAGTCCCACCGTGAGAAGTGGCCTTGTGAGACATCCTTTCAAGACTGTCTATCTTTCCATGGTCCTGGGAAGATCACAAGGGTTTTGGTCAACACGGAGGTCAGACTGCTGTTGCGTCTTTTCTCCGTGGGCTATGCGGACCTGGGCAAGCTTGCCAGGGCGCCGTGGAGCCACCAGTTCCTCCAGACCCCGTGTGCATCTGGGGCTGGATCACTGCGTTCAGCCTCCTGCGCACCGTAGGACGCTGAGCAGCACCCCGGCCTCCGTGGGCGAGATGCCAGTAGCACCGCCACCCGGTCGTGACAAGCACAATTGTCTCTGCATGTTACCAAATTGCCCCTGCAAGTGGGGGCAAATTTCCCCAAGTTGAGAACTGCTGCTCAAGTCAGTTAAGGCTCCTCATGCCTTCTGGCGGGTTTTTCATAGAGCATAATTTTCATAAGCGTCGCCGTAACTTTATGCTACTGCTTTGGATTCCTCACCTATATAATGTGCACATTTTATTTATTTCACAAACAGTTTGAACATGGGGCGCCTGGGTGGCTTAGTCGGTTGAGCGTCCGGCTTTCGCTTAGGTCATGATCTCGCGGTTCGTGGGTTCGAGTCCCATGTCGGGCTCTGTGCTGACTGCCAGCTCAGAGCCTGGAGCCTGTTTCAGTCTGCGACTCCCTCTCTCTCTGACCCTCCCCTGCTCACGCTGTCTCTCTCTCTCTCTCTCCTAGAAATAAATAAAAATATTAAAAAAAAAAAACAGTTTGAACTTAACAAATTTATTGATGTCTAAATCTCTATATTTTCAGTTCTATCTTATTAAAAAACTTTATATTTTCTGTAAACACACCAGCTTCTGCGTATTACAAATAATTTGGTAAATGTTCAGTTAAAAGACATTATCTAATTTAATAAAATTTACACTTCTTAATACTTAATTTTACCTTTAATTATTTTTAAAATTTTTTAAGTGATTATTCATTTTTGGGAGAGAAAGAGAGCCCGCTAACAGGGAAGGGACAGAGAGAGTAGGAAATAGATAAACATAAGCAGGCTCCAGGCTCCGAGTTTTCAGAACAGAGCCGACGTGGGGCTCAAACTCACCAACCATGAGATCATGACCTGAGCCGAAGTCAGAAACTTAGCTGAGCCACCCAGGTGCCCCAATTTTACCTTTTATTATTAAAATTTAGTAGTTTATGGTCCTCTATGAGAACTCATTCTTACTCCATAATGATTAACTTTCATTAACTAAATTTAAAATATTTTTATCTTTGCTCAAATCACTTAACTGCAAACATGAATGGTCTTATTTTCTTTCCTGTTTTTATCATAGTAAACATTATTTTTCTCTGCTTAACCAACTACTGTCCTGTTCTTACTTTAAGAATGTTACAACAATTTAAAATTTTCCTTGCTACAACAGTAGTTTCGTGGAAGTATCATGTAGTTTATCTACATGACACCTTGAATTTTATTTTATTTCCAGAGAATGAAAAATCATATGTATTGCACCAAATTTCTACCTTTTAATCCTTTGGTCAAATGCTTTCCTCACTCCTTTCTCAGTTATTTTTCCACATCTGGATCTGGTTCCATTGACTCCGCAATGATCCCTTTGAAGTGATACCATCCCTTCTCCAAAGAGCTGAGATTCCCTGTGAATCACTGTAATGACTCCCTTGGAAAAAGACCGTAGAGCCTTTGTCTCCCACTTAAAAAATGTTTGGTTAATCATATCTCAAACCTGTTGGACATAAACTCTCTGCCTCTTCTACTGCCGTGCTGTAATAATGCTGTAAATAAACAGGCACCAGACTGCCTGGTTTTGATATAAATTTATAGAGCTAGATATCAAGGGGTATCATAAGTGTCTGGCACACCTGGAAGTTCTCCCTGATGTGTTGGATATCAAATATTCTAAGGAAGTCTTCTCAGTTCTACTCCTCTCTCCACTCCCATTATATTCTAGACATCCCTTATGCTGTAGTGATATCCCTTTATATTCTAGACATCCCTTATGCTGTAGTGATATCAAGATCTCACAATTCTTTGAGGATTTAAAAACAGAACGATAGGATTTTCCCATGTGTTTCTACCACCAAAATGACAACTTACCTTTACACACATTCTCTGACCTTCCTGTTGTTACAGCAGAAAATAGATCATTCTGTGATCAAGGACTCTCAAGGACTTTATACCTAAAGCTAATTACCTTCTCTCTATACTGTTAACCATTTTTCCTCTATCCAGATTATTTCTTTTTTTTTTTTTCATGATCTGTGATTTTGTTTTTAATTATCTTAAGCCTTATCACATAATTTAAAAATCTGTGATGATATATCTCCTTTACTTTAACCCCTCTAAAGAGTTGGCAAAAGCACCATTACCAATCATACATATATGGTAAATCCACAGTTGTATTTGTGAATAGCTGTTGAAAAGACAATCTTGAATGATAACTTCGTAAAGAATTCACAAGCCAAATCTGCTTCTATAACCTATCACACTGAATTTTAAAAGCATCTGACCTAACAGATCATCTGTAAAATGTGAGAAGTGTTAATATTCTTTATTTAATTTTATACATAAACCACACTAAAATGCCTTTCATTCAGCAAAAGGCAACATTTAAATGCAGGGAATTTTAATTAAATTGGCATAGTTAAGACTAAAAAGATAAAGTGGACGTTGCCAGCTTATCTTCAGCCCTTGCCTTTAACAGGCTAACAAAAACAACTTGAAACACAGCTGATATCTTGCTGTTCTGACATAATGGATTTCCTCAGTATTTAAATATATTAATATAACCAGTTATATAAATCTAAATATAAAACCAATCTCCTATATAAGTTTAGACATGGCATTTACCATCTCTGAAAAGCTTAACATCTAATCAATTCCAATCATATTTTTTGAAGGGGAAAACAGTGACAGCACTTGCTGAACCAGAATTACTATCAAAGTTCAAAAAGCCAATCATATTCATTTAACCACAAGCCAATCTCAATTAAATCAGAACTGTCCAAAATATTCTATCAGCCATTCATGATCTGAATTCTGGTGTATGAGATCAATTTAAATATGGTACACATAAAAAAGTCGTGAGACATTTTTGTTTTGTAATAAATAAGGCAACAGCCAACTATTACTCGTTAGTAGCTTTTTTGAGATAAGCTATCAAGTCTGCTCTTTCCCCTGCCTTCTTAATGCCAGCGAAGATCATTTTTGTTCCTGGGATGTACTTCTTGGGATTCTCCAAATACTCCCATCAGTGTCTCCTCTCCCCAGGTGATGCCTTTGTTCTTGTTGGCATCCGTGTAAGAAAATCCAGGGGCTTGACCCGTCTTTCGCCCAAATAAACCATGGAGATTTGGCCCCGTCTTGTGTTTGCCTCCCTTTTCCACGGTATGGCACTGGGCACACTTCTGAACAAAAATCTTCTTGCCTTTCTCAACATCACCCATTTTTAAATCGCTCTTTGGTCGCGCGCGAAGCAAAGGTGCCCGCTCCCAAGCCGGACGTCCAGCTCTCTCCTATCCAGATTATTTCTGACAACAATGAAACATGGTTGCACCACCAAAACAAAACATTACGTTGATATCTCAACCTTCCTTCAGTTGACATTGTATTTCCCCTACTTCTCATCATAGCAGAAGTTGTATTGGAGAGTGTGGCCATTCCTTGTCTCCTCTTCCACCACCCACTCCAAGGAGGTTTGTGTCCTTTATTGTGAATATTCTCATTCCCTAATCTGTGGTTACATCAACTTATTGCTCAACAGTTCTTCAGAATTAAAATTCTTTATAAGCTTGCAACGTATTACAAATTGAATGCCCTTTACCCTTAGAACTAAATTCAAACTCCTGTTCAAAAGAATCTTACGCCAATTACCTTCTGCCTTTAAAAAAATCTTTATTTGCTTAATCATTTATTGAACAGGTAGTTATTGAGTGATTACGATACTCCAGCCCTGGAGATTCCACAGTGAACAGACAAGCCTAGTCCGTTTGTTTGTATGTATGTATGTATGTATATATGTATGTATGTAGGCACATATGTATGTTGTTTTTAAAAAAATTTTTTTTAATATTTTTTATTTATTTCTAGGAGAGAGAGAGAGACAGCATGAGCAGGGGAGGGTCAGAAAGAGAGGGAGACACAGACTCTGAAATAGGCTCCAGGCTCTGAGCCGGCAGTCAGCACAGAGCCCGACGCGGGGCTCGAACCCACGAACCGCGAGATCATGACCTAAGCGAAAGTCGGACGCTTAACCGACTAAGCCACCCAGGCGCCCCCATATGTATGATTTTATAAGGGGGAGGGGCAGAGAGAGGGGAAGACCCTAGAGGCTGAAATGTAGGCATTTCAGAGTTTAGACACGCAAACCGATTTTTCCCAGCCAGATACCAGACACCCTGGCTGTGCTCACCCGCCTCATCCCCCTGCCTCACTGCCACTGGGTCGTCCTGCCTGGTCCCTGAACTTCTACTCTTACCACACACTTGAGGGCTCTGGCACCTGAGAACATCATGGCCTTTCCTGTCACAGGCTGGCTGCTCCCTCCACAGATGCACCCCCTTCCCAGGTCATCCCAGTTTGCCTGCCTTCCTTTTGGGACTCCTTTTACCATATCGTGCTCCTTCTGTTTCTATCTTCTTTCTTTATTACACAGTTATTATCCAAAACCAATTACAGTTGAGATGCTACTTTTAGGGACATACACATTTAAAAATACGTCTTCCTGTGACAGGTTATATTTTTGGCTGTTTTGTGCTTTCTGTTTCTTTTTTGTTTCCTTTGAGTTTTAGGTGTTCTCCTCAATCCGATCATCTAGTCTTGCTACTAATTTAAACAAATAGGGGCACCTGGGTGGCTGAGTCCGCTAAGCACTGATTCTTGATCTCGGCTCAGGTCTTGATCTCAGGGTTGTGAGTACAAGCCCACACTGGGCTCCAGGCTCAGCGTGAAGTCTACTTAAATAAATAAATTAAGGGACACCTGGATGGTTCAGTCGGTTAAGTGCCCGCGTCTTGATTTGGGCTCAGGTCATGATCTCACGGTTCATGAGATCTAGCCCCACATCCCTGCTTAGGATTCTTTCTCTCCCACTCTCTCTGCCCCTCCAACCTCCCAAAATAAATAAAAATTTAAATTTAAAAAATATTTTCTTTCTCTTTTATTGTCTTTAGATTTGTTATATTTTCCTCACTAATATTTTCTGCATTAAAAAAACTCATATCATCTTATTTCTGGTGACTTTTTCCTTTCCTTATCTTCTTAATTATTTTTAGATGCTTATTTTAATTTATTTTTATTATTTTATTTTAATTCATTATTCTTTTCCTCCCTTTGTTCCAGGTAGGATGTGTTGTTTACTATGGACTTTTTTTGGATTGTGCACTGCCTCCCTGTCTGGCTACTTACCCTGGATGTATGAAATCCTGTCTCCTGTGTGTACCCAGGAAGGAATACAGTTCAGCCATGTGCTGTTAGATCGGCTAGTGTGTAGTGACAAGGGGACCATAGAGGACAATCCAGCCCCTCCACACTAGGTGGCCCTGCTCGGTTTTCGACTTTAGGTGGCCCCAGGGAAGCAGCACGGGGCACAGGCGTGTCCAACCAGGTCCTAGTCTCCCAGGTCTGCAATCTGGGATGGCGTAGCATGATGGCCCAGGGGCCACTGACCACTGTGACTTGCCGATAGCCTCGAACCCTCTGACACCACCATCTAGTCCCGCAGTAAATGAGGTAGCTGCTGTCCCACGGTGATTTAGGGGAGCAATTAAAGTGATTGTCTCAACTCCTCCCTTCCCTGAAGCCTTTGACTTCTGTCCAGACAAATGGAAGATAGGCTTTGATTTCCCCCAGGGTTTTCTCACAGGGCTTCTCTAGTTTCTAGAATCTGAGTGCCCAGTAGCTTCTCATTTCTCTGTGGTGATTTGGGGGCTAGCCGGTCACCCTGTGTCGGTTCCCTGAAGCTGTCTTGAAACACCTACCCCAGAATTCCCTCTGGCCCAGTCTGCTTCTCCCGCCCTATTGCTGCTGCACCTTTTTTGGGAGGCTTTTCGCCTTCTCTTCCTGGAATGTGCATTTAAATTAGACACATACTGAATAAGACCTGCCAAGTGCCAGTTTCTGTGTAGACTGCTGATAGGTATAGTGGGCAGCACAACAAACAGATGAAAATCCTCGCCCTCTATTTGATTAAATTCCAAGGTGGAGGTAGGGGAGTGATAAACAAAAAATAAGAGAAATGGGTAGAATGTTGAGCTTGCCGAGTGGTGATAAGGGATAAGGAGAAAAATCAGTGGGTGGGGGAATGCGGACTTTCAGGGCTTAGCTTCAAATTTTAAAAAGCATGCCTAGCACAGCTCTCACCGTGGAGAAGTTTGGACAGAGACCTGGCTGGGATGCAGGAGGGTTGGGTGGGGAGGGCGTGCCCAGCACGAGCTAACAAAGGCCAGAGACTGGAGTGAGGCTGCTGGGTCCCAGACACCCTGTGTGCCCGGTGAGACTCAAGCAGAGCAAGGGGACGGGGGCGGGGGGGGTGTGTGCTGAGGTGGGCAGGACATGGGGCCAGGCCACCAGGGACTCCAGGCTGCTGTTAGGCATCTGTCTTCTACTCTGGGTCAGCACTCCTCAGAAAGTGGCCAGAGGACACTGCCGATCTCTACTCCCTCTTCGGTGTGCAGCAAGCCTAGTGCAGAAACGGTGACCAATCACTTAGAAACCATGAGAGCAAGTTGACAGAGTTTGTCAAATCTAAAGACATCAAAGGCCTTCCTTTGTGTGTAATGGCTTTCTTGTTGATTTTTACTTTATTTCTAGTAACTCATTTTATTGCATTTTGTGAAAATGTGTCCATGACAGATGGGAAGGAGTGAGTAGGGTGGAGGGGGGCAGGTCCTTCACCAGAGGCAGTTGGGAAGTTCCACAATGACACCAGCAACCAGTCAGACTTGGTTATGTCAGGGTCTCTCCAGTGACTGTTTGGAGAACAGGCTGAGGAGTGGCTGGAGGAGAGTGTGGGGAGGTGACCTCAATAATCCAGGGGAAAAAAGGGGCAGGGGCTGGGCTGAAGGTCCCGGCTGTGAAAGGGAGAAAGCGGCTTGATTCCGGATACAACTTGAAAGTAGAGAGAAGATGGGCAATGATTATGTTGCTGCCCCAGGCCCGTGTTGAACACGATCCCTTTGCTCCCCAAACTCTCCCTCATCTTCTACAACATGGTCTCACTCCACGTAAGTCAGGAGAGGGAAGTGCTGAGTTTCACACAGTCTCTTCCTGTTGCCTTTCTTCGTACTCAGTACAGGACAGACCCGGGCAGCCAGAGTTTCCAACAGGAGCCTCACACCACTGTAACTTTCCCCGTCACACGGACTTTACATGAAGTGTCTCAAATATGATGTACTTTCTCAACATAAAATAAGCACCTATCTCTCCCTTCCCACTGAAATGATCTTTCTTTTAGTCCCTGTGGTCTCTCTGCTCGACTAGGAACTCTGCCTCTGGGGTCCCGGGGCACCCTCTGACTCACCAGCCTGGGACTGACATAGGAAGGGACAAGATTAGCCTTGCTCTCTGCCATATTTGCAATCCACAAATCACATTAAAGTAGAAAGTATTAGGGGCGCCTGGGTGGCTCAGTCGGTAAGTGTCTGACTTCGGTTCAGGTCATGATCTCACGGCTCGTGAGTTCGAGCCCCATGTTAGGCTCTGTGCTGACAGCTCAGAGACTGGAGCTGCTTCAGATTCTGCGTCTCCCTTTCTCTCTGTGTCTCTATCTATCTCTCTCAAAAATAAGTAAGCATTAAATTTTTTTAATTAGAAATTATTAGCAAGTTTGTGTGAGACTCGATTAAGACAAAGCTTGGCCAGAATTTATATGAAACGAATGTAAATCTTTTTAAAATAATGCTTATCTATTTTTGAGAGAGAGAGAGAGAGTACAAGAGCAGGGAGGGGCAGAGAGAGAGAAGGACAGAGAATCCAAAGCAGGCTCTGTGATGACAGCAGAAAGCCTGATGCAGGACTCATCAAAATCATGGACTGAACCGTGAGATTGATGAGGTTTTGGGGTCATGGGGAGTTTGTGGGGTCCAGAGCCAGCAGCCAAGAAAGAATTCTTAAAGACATCTTTGGTGCAAAAAGGTGATTTTAGGGCCACCTGGGTGGCTCAGTTGATTTAAGTGTCCGACTTCAGCTCAGGTCACGAATTCCTGGTTCGTAACTTTGAGCCCCATGTTTAGCTCTGTGCTGACAGCTCAGAGCCTGGAGCCTTCTTCGGATTCTGTGTCTCCCTCTCTCTGCCCTCCCTCCCTTGTTCACGCTGTTTCTCTCTCTCTTAAAAATAAATAAACGTTAAAAAAAATTTCTTTAAAGGTGATTTTATTACAGCACGGGGGCCAGGCCCCTGGGCAGCAAGGGTGGGGGAGACTGTTTTCTGGAGGCGAGGAGATAAGTCAAGAGGGAGTTTCCCAAGAGACTTTCATATGCTAAAGACTCACT